AAACGTTTGCATTTTCCTTCTACTTCATAGATGCACAGAAATCAGTCTTCTCAGATTTGTTAAGACTTGTTTCATGACTTAGCACGTCACTTGTCTCTTTGGGTCGCTATTTGTATGGAATACATCTTTCAATTTCTCACTTTCCAAACTTGGTGTGGACATTAATCTAAACTTGTTTCATCTTATTTTTTGTAGCCATCTTATGTAAGAACATTTTTTTCATTAATGTATTCAGTCGTTCAATACATGTTTCATAGTGAATGTAATATACTCATAGCCAATTTAATTATTAATAAAAATTTCATGTCAGATAAACAAACATAGAAGAGTGAAACTTTAAGAAATAAAATTTGGGAATAGTATGTATTTAATTCTTTTTTTTTATAACTCTGAGGGGTTGTTGACCTGACACAAACACTTGATTTGACATCCAAATGTATTTTGCTTCTTGCTTCTTGCTGCCTTCCATGGGCCCTGCACTTCCCTTTAGCTATATGCTTATGAACTGCCATTTGATTTTATAATCTAAAGTTCAGATGGTTACAGTGTTGCTTGCCTTGAGCATCAGAAAATTGGTATTTTTGTTAAGTTCAAAAACTAGAAACAATTGAAGATTCACAAGTAGATACGAAATACAAGGGAAAATATCCCATTTCTATATGTTCTGTGCTCCAGGAACAATGACCAAAAATCATTAGTCCATGTGAGAAACTCACAAACAAATCAAGATTATAATAGACATTAAGAAGAAACATAAAAAATAAGGATAAACAGACAATGGTACATGGCATAATTAGGGGGTAAGCTCACAAATTTTGCTAAAGTTAAAAGGACCATAAAAGAAGTTGGAGAGATGGCTCGGAAATTATGAACATCTGTTGCTTTTGCAGAGGACCCAGATTCAGTTCCCAGAACCCATATGGCGACCATCTGTAAAACTTCAGTTCCAGGGCTCCAACAGCACTGAAGATCCAGTGGGAAGGTTTGGCCTCCAATGGCACTGCATGAATGTGGTGTATAGACACACATGCAGACAAAATCAATATGCATAAAATAAAAATAAAATAAATAATAAATGGACCCAATAAAATCTCATCTCCCAAACTCAGGCAAATATGATCTACATCTCAATTTACTTACTTAAAACATTAGTGTGATAATGATACCTGCTTTGTAAGTTTTTCAAGTTAGGAAAATAATTGAGTAACTATAAAAACACAATACTTGGTGTGTATAAACCAGGCAGGCTATGAAGAGTTAATCACAAAATATCATCATTCTCAATGTTAGGCATGAGGACTGAAATGAGGCTATAACTTCCAGTCATTCAAAACAATTCTGGGTAAAAGCATAATACTTGGAAGGAAGGTCTGTAATTAAGGAATTATAGTGAAGGACATATCCTCATAATGGAAAATGGAATTAAAGTTTGAGACTTATGAATTATTGGATAATGGAAAGGAGTGTGCCAGTTGTTGACTGGAGAAAGCTTCAGGCTCAAGGTCACTGCTAAAGGCCAAGATCTAAGCTGGAAGAAGCAAAGGATGAAGGAAGAAATTGATGCTGGGAAAATTGTAGCATGGTCTATTGAGTGTGTCAAGTCAGAGTGTGCCTTCATTTTTATTGGCAGTTTTAAAATGTAAGGCATCATCATTATAAAAATTTAAACAATATAGGACAATAAAAAGTTCAATATATAATTTTCCATGAAATAAATACACTCATAACAAGATAATGAAAGAATGAGAGAAGCTAGCTGGACAGACAAACAGAGAAATAGGTGTATGAGTGGACAGATGGAAATAATTTTTTCTTTCTTTTTTTCTTTTTTAGGGATCAATGTCACTCCCTGATCAGATAGTCTATTGAAACTAGCAAGTTTGGTAAGAGATCCTATCTCAGAAAATAAGATGAAGAGTTGGAGAGATAGCTCAGTGATTAAGTGAAGAGTTGGAGATAGCTCAATGATTAAGAACATGTACTGCTCTTGCAGAGGACCCCAGTAAAGTTCCAGTTCCTAGCACCCATGTTGCATTGTTCATAACCACCTGTAAGTCCAGCTTGAGGGAATCAAATGCTTCTGACTTCTGTATGCAACTACATTCTCCCCCTATTGCCTCTCATGTGTATATACACACACTTGAAATCAAAGCATAAATCTTCAGAATATAAGGTAGAGGGTAATTGAAGAAGACACCCACCCAATACCTCCAAACATGCACACACAGACACATTTATGTGCACACACTCACATGTGCACAGACACATATGTGCAAGCACATGTACACACATATATTCAAGCATATGTACACACTCATATGTGCACAAAACACATGTGCACTTGCACACACATGCATACATATGTGCACACTCACACTTTGCACACACATACTCACATGTACACTCATGTTCACATGTGAACACACGCTCACATGTGCACACACACAAGAAACCAAGGTGAAGGGAAGTCCACTCTGAAGTAGCACTTTCAGAATTTTCTCACTATTCTTGAGAGCTTGTTGGGAGGCTCCAGCAGGGAAACACAGCTACTGAATACCCTTGACTAAAGACTTGTCCTCCTCTATTCATGAAAGGAAGGTCATCCTCTGTCCTTTTTGGCCAAGCACACAGCTTTGGGAGAGACACACATGCAGTGGTGATCAAGGAAGGAGACACAGGCTTAGCCAGCCAGATTAGCGGAATCAAACCTAGCAATCAATGGGGTGACAAATATTGCAGCCAGATTGCCTTCACTGGAAAGAATATTTTCATATAGAAGTAAGATAATGGTAGTACTCTTGTCCATCAGTGCTAACTGATCTCTATGCAGCAACCACTTTGAAGCCATAATTCCAGAATTCTGAAATCAGGGCTGATCATTGACTAATGAGGGACTATTAGACTTTTTCCATAAAACTCATGAATCTGCCTCTTGCCTGTCTAACTCAGAAAGGCTAGTGTAGTAGTGTAGTTTCTGTTCCATGGAATAAGAAGTCCATGGCTACCAATCTTATTCTCTCACACAGTCACTAAAGCAGCTGGTATGAAGTTTTACATTACACTCGACAGTCAGCCAACTGCTGAATGATTACTGTAGAAGCGATAGCTGAACTGATTGAAATGACTCCCATCAACAAGGTCAGCATTGGAACAGCAATGAATCAATGAAATGCATGCATTTTGCTACATTTCTAACCACCATCATCTTAACCAATCATTATTGTTTATCAACAAGTTGTCCTACTGTATAGGGCTGGTACAGGAATTAGTTTTGCTATCAGGAAGAGATGGCTCAAAATTTAAGAGTGCTTGCTGCTTTTCCAAAAGACATGAGTTTAGTTTTCATATTAGGCAGCTCACAACAACCAGGTCTGAGAGGCCTTTAATTCCCAGAGACTTTTTACAACTCTCAAGAACAAATTCTGAAGAGTAAATGCAAATGTAAACCAAGTTCTTTTATATGTAAGAGTGAATTTTATATAAACATAATAAATAAATTAAATACTTTAAAACTTTAAAGTTAAATATATAAAGGCCAAATGAATTAGTACCTGCATATAATAAACAGAACAAATCTTGTTGCATGTTAAGTGTATTATTATGTATTATATATATACATATTATGTATTATAATGTATTATAATCCACTTATCTGCTTATCTATGATATCTGTCTATCTATCATCTGTCTCTATCTATTATCTAGTTATACCTATCATCTGTCTACCCACTCATCTCTGTGACATTTATCCCTTATAGATCAGTCTCTTTATTGTTTTATCATCTATTGAATGCTTTATATGGAATATAAGCATGAAAGAAAGAAGAACAGAAGGAAAAATCCACGGTGGAAGTTAAATGAAAGAAAAAATGTGATGTATTCTAAAACGGAAGCAAGTTTAAAACTGTATATTTAAGGGTACATATTATAGATATCATAGAGAGGACATATCATCTTTCTTAGGAGAAAGTGCCAAAGAGAGAGCACATTTTCTTTAGAGGGAAGAAGGGCATAATGGCATGATAAACAATAAAGATACCTATCAGGTGGGTCTATACATGAAACTGTTCCATACATCATTTTAATGGAGAACTCAAATTCATTATTTGAAGTATCATTAATTTTAATACATTTATTTATACTCTTCCAAGATGTTAAAAATATTAAAACATTTAAAAAATGAATTAAAATTGGGTAATATATTTCAATAATTCTATGGAATTATTTTTGTAGAGCCAACAAAATGTCCTCCTTTTGTTAATTGATAGTTGCACCTTTCAGAAGGACTCAAACAAGATTGTTCTTTGTTCTGTATCACTAAGGATGACAGGTGTACTTAATTGTAACCTACTCTTTCCAAACTGAATGCCTTTAGTTTACTCAATGACTCTTACAAGAAATTGTTTTCCAATCCAGTCAGTATTCTGATTATTTTGTGTTAAGATTTGATAATACATCAAATTCATGATCTCAAATCTGAGTAAATATTGTCTTTGAAATCTTTACACATTGGGTTTGCTCTTTTTATTGGCAAATATTCATCATTTTTTCCAAGCCAAGGAAGATAACTTATCCTAGGTTTTCCTGACATATGTTTCTTCTTGTAGTTATGTTTTTGTTTTGCTTTTAGAATCTGTTTTCCTTATGATTTTCTTGGATCATTCTATAGGAAATTATCTTGAAGTCACTGCCATGGTTGAAAGTCAGAGCAGTGGTGGATCCTGTAATAAAACAGAGAAGCACAGTTCTAGGTGTAATATTAAACATGGAAGACAATTAGTAACACTTAGAATTAGTAAATGAGCAGAATAAGCCATTGTTTCAAAGAGCCTGAAGAAATTATTGGTTTCCTTTGAAGAACACTACCGGCTCCTTAATCTAATCCAGACAGTCTGGCCGAGGCTCAGGTAACAAATTAGATATGGGTGGGAAGTGCCCAACCCAAGGTCTTCAAGGTGCCATTGTTTCCTTTGGTCTTATAAAGGCTGTGCTGAAGTTCCCCCAGCTTCAAGGGAAAGAGACACCATGGCTGCCTCCAGGTTGCTTCTGGTTCTGCTCTCTATGGCCCTGCTGGCCCTGACCTCAGCTCAGAGGGCCAATGAAGGTAAGAGGTAAAACAGGGCTGAAATTCATGGAAAAGAGTACAGTTGGGCTGCTTCTTACATTAATTTCTGTACCATTTTCACAGATGGCAAAGATACAGGTCTGAAAATCTGGCTGTATATTCTAAGACAGGATCTTTATAACGTTTACTATTTGAACATACATAGATTTTACACACACTCTCTCTGTGTGAATATCGTGAAGATGTAATTTACCTGGATATTTTGTTTTCTTTCCGACAAACACCTAAACATTTATAAATCTTGAGAATTTTATTAAATCTTCATGTTTAATGAAAGTTTCATTATTTGGGTCCTGCTGCTCCCAAATTCACTTGCTTCCCTTTCAAAGCATTGCAGTCCAGTAAAGTATAGGGCTCTGCCACACCATCTCCGGTGGAGCCTGTGTGACATGGTGAAAACCATGTTTTTGGACCAGAGACAAGTTCCGTGGAACTTAGTCTCCCGGAGGTTCCTGGCATCCTGCCCCTACACTTTGTTGCAGTGCACTGATCAAGTTCTGTGGATTTGGGTTCTGTACCTTCTCTTTCTTGACTTCTATGGCTTTAATTAATACAACCGGTCCTTGCCAAGTCTTGGTGGAGAGTGGATAGTGAAAGGATAAAAGTTCAGAGACTAATAGGGAAAAGACCCAGGGAGTTCACCAGGAGCAAGGAAGAACAGTCAAGGGATTCCTACTACTATGATTTGTGGTAGAAGGCATTACCTACTCAGAGGATGATGGTGGGTGCCTCCAGTAAACAGGGAAACTCCACAAAAATTCAGGACTACAACCCCTCCTATGCTGTATAGAGGAGTATATGATGATCAGGGAAATAGATGGGTAAATATAGATGGAGAGAAAGTGTATTACACACATAACATTATGGAGAGATTAGCTAGAGCAAGGCCTCTTTGGTGCTTATTGACAAAAGGAACCCAATTAGTTTTAACAAGACAATTGCAAAAATATATATGCTCACCTCCCCCAAAAGTTGGATAGAGAGGGCTTCAAAAACAGCCAAATTGGTCTGACTCGCGATAAACATATATTAAGCTTTGCAAACATCTGCATTTTTACATAGAAGTCAACTCAGCAGAATTCTAAGAATAAAATCGACCTCAGGTCTGAGACTATTAACACTGTCTGGAGGCCAGATGGTACTCAGAGGGTACTTCCTGCTCTGTTCTTTTAGTTTCAAGACAAGTTGTCAACAAGTAACCACTCATCAGATGCAACTATATATAACCTGGCATGGGGTCAAATCTTAGTTCCTAAATCATGTGTATATATCTGATGCTCTCACTGAAGTAAACTTGCAGCAGATTCAAACCGCATCTCTTTGTATTGTGTCTGTCACTTGTGGAATCCTTACCAACCTGATCACTGGAGCCCTCATTCTCCCATGGAGGAGACCCCAAACTGAGTCAGTCTGTGGCAGAGCTCCAATTAGAACATTTGTTTACCGAAATCTGAGGAACTCAGAGTGAAAATATATATTAGAAGCTTTAGCAAAATTTGGCTACCTCATGATACCATCACAACAATCTGTTGGTGAACAAAAATGAGTTTCCTGTTAATGTGATGAAAGGAAGTGTCACTTTTCATTAATTCCTAGGTAAAAGCAAGAGGCAAATTTGGAATATTAAAAAAAAGTAAAGCTCTGAGGTCTGCTTGGATGAATGAAGTCTTTGTTAATATTGGGTAAATATATGTAATTTATGATATGATGGAGGATCTATGAGAGAAGTAATGGATAATAAACAATTATGGCTTCAGAGAGTTGGACAGACTTGTGTTTGATAAAAAGGGTTTTGGATGATTTCCTGAAATAAGCAATCCTTGTTTGAAAAGTTTGTCGTGGGTAGTAAAGTCTTGCTAATGTAGAATGAGTCACTTGGCCATAGATGGTTTGATTCTCATGTTGTATCTGTTCAGGAAATCACATCATTAAGCATGTGGTGCACTGTGAAGGGAGGAATTCATTTGGTTGCATGATTTCCTCTTTACTCCTTGTTCAGTCCCTGATGGGGACTAGGGTTCTCCTTTGGGAATGATGGCTTATTGCATTGAAACCACATATACATGTGTTTTATGTATTATCTATCTACCTACCTACCTACCTATCTATCTATCTATCTATCTATCTATCTATCTATCTATCTATCTATCTTTCCCTAGCAATGTCTTAGGCATATTCTTTTTATATCTATATTTTCTTGACTTATAAAAGTGCACAGTTGGAATTCATTAACTCAAATCTAAAATTTATTATATTTTTCTTTTAACATTCTAGATGATGAAGATTCTCTTCAAGAGCAACGTAAGTCTCTAAGACTACACTTCATTTTCTCTTAGAATATGTCATACTTTGATGTTTGCTTACATTTTTGTCATTTAGAAGTTCTAGAACTGTTTTAGGAAGTCTCAAAGAGAGTAGAAACTCCCCAATGTTTTAGTAGTCCTCAGTTACAATGTTAAACATAAGCCAGCATTTCACATCATGTCTCTTGTGTCAGTGAGATCGTGTCTGAATATCAGCAGAACATACACACCATTTATTTGCAAAGGGTTTTCTCTAAGTAGTCTTGTAGACCATGACTACCAGTGAAGAACACAAATCTCTTCCATTTACAAGAGTTTTGACACCATTGATATATGTCCTAGTTTCTACTGCTGTGATAAAATACTTTGACCAAGTCAAAGTATTGAGAGGAAAGGATTTGTTTCCAGGTAACAGTTCATCACAGAGGGAAGTTAGGGCAGGAATTCTAGCAGGGCAAGAACTTAGGAACATGAGGCAATGAGGAGGCCAAAGAGGACCATGGTTTACTGGCTTGCTCCTTAAGGCTTGCTCAGCCTGCTTTCTTATAGCATGTCCAATGGTGTATTTACTCATAATAGCATGGCTCCTCCCCCATTAATCACAATTAGGAAAATACTCTGCAGGCTTGCCTGCCTATAGCTGGATCTTATGGAGGCATATTTTCAATTGTGGTTCTTTCCTCTCAGAGGACTCCAACTTGTATCAAGTTGACATAACACCAGATAGCACAACATATAACTCGTTTGAACAGCGACTATATTAGGTAATTTACTTAAAAATTATGGCTATTCAATCAGTAAATGTCCCAATAAAGAAATGGTAGAATCAGATAAAATGAATTAATGAACAAATTTGTTCTTTAAAAAAGAGTTCTTAGAGCTGGACCTGATCGCACAGGCTTTTATTCCTTACTGAAGAGACTGAAGAGGATGGTTTATAGGTCTAATGTCTAAATGGGCTACACAGTGAATTCAAGTCTAGCCAAGACAATTCAGCAATTTTAATTTGAAAGGTAAAGGAAATTTGGGTCAGTAGTGGAGCACTTGCCTATCATTTGAGTCTCTAGCCTCAATCCCATGACATCAAACAAGATGTCATATAGCCATTTGTCTTAAGAATGCTTCCTGACTTGTTAATAATCTCTCTACTCGCAATTACATTTTAAATTTCATTGTGTGTGTGTGTGTGTGTGTGTGTGTGTGTGTGTGTGTGTGCGTGCGTTTGTGTCCTGTTCTTCCTTCACAGAATCCCATGAAGACTCCCATGGATCAGGTGAGATAGTTCAGCTTCAATTAAGTTAATGAAAATTATTTTGAATTATGTCTAGCAACTTCTGGATTCCTGGTATTATAATTTTTTGTCATAATTATACTTTATTTATTTACCTATTTTTACTTAAATTAAAAACAATCTTATTTTACATATCAATCCCAGTTCCCACCCCCTCCCATTTTCTAATTCCCCCTACCATACCCCCATCCCACCCACATCCACTCCTCAGGAAGGGTAAGGCCTCCCATGGGGGAATCATCAAAGACTGCCACATTATTTGGGGCAAGACATAGACCTAGCCCTCCCCTGTGTATCTAGGCTGAGAGAGTATCCCTCTCTAGGGAATGGGCTCCCAAATTCCACTCATGCACTAGGGATAAATACTGCCAGAGGCCCCATAGACTGCCCAAGCCCTCCGACTGACACCCACATTCAGGGGGCCTGGTTCAGTCTTATGCTGGTTCCCCAGCTCTCAGTCTGGGGTCTGTGAGCTGACTTCCTAGAACCCAGTTATAGAGAGGGAGGAGTGATGAGCAAAGGGGTCAAGACCATGCTGGGGAAACCCACAAAACAACTAGCTCATTTAGTATAAAATTTGTCTAACTTTTTAGGGCAAAAAGGTTATGCTTAACCTTTAAATTTATTATCTCTCCATTTTTCTATTTAGTTTTTAGTTCCACATTGTAAAAGGTTCAAACAACTGAAAAAGGGCAAAATAACAATAATAATATCAACAAAATGAGAAAGACGAGGAAAAAGAGGACGAAAAACAGTGTTTGCTATGGAGCCTCCTTTGTGATATTCAATGTGAGGTTATTGTTTTCCTCTGCCTTTCTTTCCTTGCCTTGGATGCCCTTATGATTGCATAGCTATTTATCATTTCCCGAAATAAACATTTTGATAAGTTATAGTATCTAATCTAATTCACTAACAAACCACATCTACAATCACCATGGCATACCCCTTTTGCCACCTCTGAGGGTGCAATGGCTAAATGGGGCATGGTTGCTCTCCTTGTGGAACCTAGAATCTAATAGATGGGGATGCTTGGGCACAATGAGGATCACTGTCAGGAAAGTGGGCACAGAAAATTATAGTTCTCACAGTACAGGAGGAAAAAAAGACCTCATACAAGCGATGGCAGAACCACAGCTACATCTATGCTTGCGTTATAGCTATACATATATTCACTAGTCCTAGGAGATTAGAAAGCCATATAGTTGAAGTAATATGAGGAGCTGAAAGTGTGAGTTAGCATCAGAGCATGAAATGTATTATGAATAGCACATTGATTTTCTACCCATCCTTTAAGCAACAGACACGTGTAACAACTGCTTTATATCATGATTTCTCCCAGGCACTCAGAAATATGATGGAATGTGGGTGATTTCATGTGTAATATACCAAGTTCAAGTTCTGAATAGATGGCACTATATAATAATGGCAGGGGTATAAATTGGGACAGAGAAGCAGAATGTTCCTGATTAAGTAATTATACACGAGTAGGCAAGATCGCTCTGACCCTTTTCTTCTAGGTACTGGACCTGCTCATTACCTAATACCATCTACCCCAGTCAAACAATTTCTCACTAAATCAAGTCAATGATAGATTCTGCGATTATCTTGTTAAGTTCATGGTGATCCTTTCTCTATTTTTGATCTTTTTTCTGGATATGTGTTCTCTATCCCAAAAAAGTTAGTCATTTCTATGCAGGGCTAAAGGAAATAAAGGACCACATTAAAGAACAAATAAGTGAGCACGGCAAGATGGCTGAGAACTTCATCAAAGGGAACGAGAAGCGCAACAAAGGGAAAGGCAGAGGTGGTAACCGAGGCTCTGATGGTGAAAGCTTGAGAGGTCAGGATCGCCAGAGTGGAAATCAGCAAGGAAGAGGTGGCCAAGGAGGCCGTGGCCGCGGTGGCCAGAAAGGCGAGAAAGGCCAGAATGCAAAAGGTGGCCAGAAAACACAACGTGGGAAAGGTGGCAAGAGAAACCAGAGGGGTCAGTACTACAGCAGTCCTGGTGTCCAGTGCAAAGGGGAACCAGCTAAAGATGGCCTCCTACGGTTCCCTGGGGACTAATTACACGCTCTCACGTATTCATTTCTCTTTGTATTCCCCAATTCTTCTCGTCGTTTTGACATTTTTTCGCAGATAAGTTCTTGCCATGGCTCTCCCTGCCTCACATCTACACCCAGAAAGGCCCTCTCCCTTCTAGCAGCAGGACGTGCCCTTTCTGCCCTGTCAGAACTTCTCTCATCAGATTAGTTTAATGTGTCTCCAAGTTCTTTTTCTCTCTCTCCCATCATCTCTCCCTTTCTCTCTTCTTCCTTCTCTTCCCCCTCTCTTGGTTACTTCCTTTTCCTGCTCTCTCCTCCCTTTCTCTCTCTCTCTCTCTCATTGTGAGATAGGGGCTTCACTTTGTAGCCCAGGCTGGTCTGGAATTCACTATGGAATCCAAGCTGGCCTCACATTCATGGTCTTCACACTTTAGCCTCCTGGGCGCTAGGGTAACAAGCACAGGTCACCATGTCCAGCAGTATAAAGTATTTTAATGAGATATGTTTAGGACTGTTGGACTTCTAAAGTCTTTCTCTTTGTTTCAGAGAACGATGGACAACTTTCAGAAGAGTAAACTACTTGGCCCTCCCTTCCCTCAAATTCAAAGCATCAATAAAATCACCAGCATGGATTCTTTGGCTGCTGTTTTCCTTCTAGAATAATGATTCTCCCTAGAGAATACCTGATTTGTGCTCTGGAGTTTCACAGACACTTAGATGTTAGTAATTTGTTGATGGCTTAACATGTGCTTAAAAGGAAAGGGCAACATTCTTGTAATCAGTGACCAAATTATCAATACACAAACTTTTTCTTAGTTTAAATGGAAACTTACATTGTGAGCTTCTCTGACAATATTTCAATGCCCAATGTCGTTTTGCCACATTTGTGTGTATCTTGGTTTTAAGAGAGTACCCAGGACTACCAGAAGTAAGGGGGAAAACCCACAGAAGAATCTTCCTAAGGCTTTCAGAAAAAATGAGCTCTATTTACATTTTGCAATTTTAGCATCCAGCGCTGTAACAGAAATCATGCAACACATTTGTGTGGTTGGAGCATTCTCTACTTCCCTCCAGCTTGAGGAACTTGGTTATAGCAGCTTAGAAAAAATTACAGGAGGAAATTCACTTTCCAGATGCTTTTCATGAATAAACATAGAAGAAACATCACACACACACACACACACACACACACACACACACACACGCACACACCCCATTCTATCTATCAAACTTCTGAGAGAAGGAAAAGAGAGAGGGAAGGAGGATGACCCAGAGAGGTCTGGGTCGGCCCAATGCTGGTTCCCCAGCTATGAGTCTGGGGTCCGTGAGCTCCCCCTTGTTCAGGTCAGCTGATTCTGTGGGTTCTATAGCCTGGCTTATCACTCCTCCCTCTCTGCAACTAGATTGCAGGAGTTCGGCTCAGTGTTTAGCTGGACCAAGGCAACTTTTATAAGGGAAAGCATTTAATTGAGGCAGCTTACAGTTTCAGATGTATAGTGCATTATGAGCATGGCCTGAAACATACATGTAGGCAGGCATGGTGTGGAAGAAGGAGCTGAGTATTCGACATCTGGGTGTGCAGGAAGAAGAGAACCTCTAGGCCTGGCTTGGGCTTTTTTGTTTGTGTATGTATTTTATGTATATGAGTGCTCTGTCTTCATATATACCCGAATGCCAGAAGAAGGCATTGGATCCCATTATAGGTAGTTATGAGCCACCATGTGGATGCTGGGAACTGAACTCAGGACCTCTGGAAGAGTCTCTTCCAGTGCTCTTAACTGGTAAACCTTCTCTATAGCTCCTGGCTTGGGATTTTTAAAACTCAAAACTCAGTGACACATTTCTCCAACAAGGACACACCTCCTAATCCCTTGAAATAGTGCCACTCCCTAAGTATTTAAATATATGATCCTGTGGGGGCATTCTAATTCACACCATCACACTTTTTTGGTTAATCCTTCTAGGGTTCTACCCTTCTAGCCCCTGTTTTCTACTCTAGGCATCTCTTTCAGTTGATTCCATATCCAATCATATTTGCAATCAAGATTAACCACAAATCCACCCCTTGTCAACTTGATATCCAATTCAATGCCACACTTAATTTCTGCGGGAAGACAGTAACGAGGTCATGATTCTGCCTAACATGACATAACTGTCCAATGTGCAGCCAAGAACACAGTCTTCCTTCCCCAGAATAAATGGCTGAGTCCCTTGAGAAGTGCTTAGTCTCTCACAAATGAAATTTGACAACATAGACTGTTGCAATCACTGGCAAAGAAAGAGAGAAAAAATATCTGCTTACTGATTGCATATACATACATGTACAAATTCACTCAGCAAAGTGTAAATGGATTTTTCTTTGTACCTCCAGCTAGCTCCCGAATCTCCATATGGAGACTTATTATGAAATCTCAGCAGATAGCTTAAGCTTGTTTCTAACTAGTTTTGTATCTTAATTCAATCCATGTCTTTTACTCTACTTTTTGCCTCGTGGCTTTATTACCACATCTTCATAGTGCCCATCCTGCTTGCGCTGCATCTGACTGGAGACTCTGCCTTCTTCTTCTCAGTGTTCACTCTGCTCTCAAAATCCTGCCTAGCTATTGGTTATTTAGATTTTTATCAAACCAATCACAGTGACATATCTTCACACCGTGTAAAGGAATATTCTACCACAACACAAAGTATGACAGAAATATGGCAATTATAATCCTTATTTCTGTAATTAGTTACATGCCTGTTATTTATAACTATCTTCTCCTACTAATTTTGTGTTTCTTCCATCTTCATTGATCACCTTATCAGGTTTTGTTCTTTTGACTGGAGGGGGGACCCATCTGCCCCTGAAGGATCTAGGTCATTTGTCATTCTATCTGGACTGAATATTGTAGTTTCCCATTGACCCAGCCCAATGCCCTGATTTCTCCTCTGAAACACCATGAAACAAACTTCTACTGTCTGTGTTTCTCCCAGCACTTTTTTTTTCTCAGTTTGCCAAGCTGTGACTGTTTATTAACTGACCAGATTACAAAAATACCACAGGCACCTTAGTTCATCCATCTAATAAGCCTGTTTATCTGGTCTTCCTTGTTGCCAGCATCACCACCTTCCACAAAGTGAGTGGTCTTTTTCTTCATCCCGCCCCGTGGAGAAGACAGTTTGAAAGGCCATAGGAAGTTGTTGGCTTCCTTGAAGCATTTCTCATGGATCAGATCCTCCATGCAGATAATGCCCTATTTACCAAGAGATCAAGCAATCAAGGAATTGTCCGTCAAGGCAATTCTCTTCTTATTTATTTTGCCATAGCCACGCTTGTAGATGAGCTCGTTTACTGACTTCAGGTTTGGGTACCCCCCTCTGCAGTGTATGGTTCCACGATCCTCAGCATGTTAATCGAAGCCTTGTTGAGCTTAACAAATGTGCCATTGAAGATCTGACGAAGACGGAGCAGCTGCAACACCTTGCGGACCTTTGGGCTCACACCATTGATACCTCGGATTCGGATGACGAATGCCAGCTTGGGTTCTGCAGGCACGTAGAAGTTTCTGGCTTTCCTTGCCATCCTAGCCATATGAATCTCCGTCCAGTTACATCTGCCTGTAGTCCTTGTGATAATGCTTTGCCTTTTCATAGATGAGCTTCCTCCGTGCCTTCCGGAGCGTCTTCAGTGCAAACTTTTTCCGGAAGCGCTTCACCTTCAGCTTCACCTTCAGCTCGGAGAAATTCCTTCGCTTTTTCTTAAAGGTCTCTAGCACAGAAGGAACCTTTTTTTTCTTCTCAGGCGTGGCCTCCATGTCTCCTTCCAGTGGGGGAGGGGGGAGAGAGGACCAAACCTCCACTAGAACGATCTTTTAAGCACTGTTTACAGTAGTTGAGTGCTTTTTATAGTTCAAAGTCACAATTTTTTCCCACACTTCTTTGGCAAACAAGTTCCAAAGACTTATGAACCACATGGCCAGGTTTATCACAGCAGTGATCCCACTTCTGATACTGCAATGCACGCATAGTACAAACATGGTCTATTAGTTTGGTTTATATGATGGACTAAGTAGTTCAATGACACCTTCTGGCACACTGAGACACAGGACACAGTATCTTCTCAATCTATGAGGATGGGTGCCTCAGGGGTTTCGATCTGGCACTGAAGGGCTGCAGGGTGCATGTGAATTCTCGCTTCTTCAATACGACTGCGGAAGGGCTGAAAGAAATCTAGGTTCCAATGTCAGCAACGGATGTGGTGGAACGGGCGGCAGCGGTTGACTCACTAGCAATCACAGCTCTGTTTTCTCCTGCCGTCACAAAGTGTCGCTCTCTGGGACAGTCCTCCACCCTTAATGAATTCCAGGAAACACCCACCCAGACCTGTCAGACATGCCAGTCGGTTGATTCCAAGCCTAATCAGGTTGATAATCAGCTCCGATTTTACTTTCTTGGTATAGATTTATCCTAATTCAGTACAAAATGATCCCTCATCTTTAGTTACTCTCAGTTGTATAGTTATGGTTTGTAACTATGTATATTTGACTATTATTTGTCTTCCATGGTATTTTCCGCGACTGTACCTCACAGAAGACCGTGGGATTTATCATATCTCATATGCATTTCCAGCACCTACAACTGTGTCTGGTGACTAGACAGTCAAGGTAAGAAAAGCTATTTACTGAGCATGTGAGGAACAGAACCAGAAAGGAACTCAGCTTTGCTCTCTGTGGCCCATTCACTGAGCCCTTATAGAGAAAGCTTGAAAATTCACCATAGTTACCGTAAAAGAAGCTATGCGAATCTACTATTCATCATTTTTGTTTATCTCTACAGGATTTTCAACAATTAACACAATGAACTCAGGTTGCCAGACTTGTTAATCAAGCCCCATACTAGTCAGGCCATTTTCCTGCCCTATTGCTTTAAAAAATTTTTTTTTTAATTGTTTGATATTATACTATAATTGCAGAATTTCCCTTCTCGCTTTCTCCTCTCCAACATCTATGCACCTCCACTTTGAGCTCTCTCATCCTTTGAGAT